TTAGCCTCACCTACATTCCAGCTCTGAGTGTTTCTAAATGTGCATTTCACATCTCCACAGGTCAGCTGATTTTATTTGTTTAAGCTGCTTTTGGAAGTTTTTTGACATCCTGCCAGTTCTAGTTCTGTGTCATTCCAAGACACAATATCCACCAAAATAAGCTTTTAAGCAGCACCAAATTAGAGCAGTGGAATGATACAGACATGCATGCCATGCCAAATCAAGTTTCCCTCTTCCCCTTTGTCAGAAGTGGTCAACTTATGAAACAGATACATCAAATCTGCTTGTCAGCAGTTCATCTACCAAATTCCTTCACTGTCCTAACTGTAACAGGAACACTACATACAGACCAAGATTACAGAGGATATTTTTCAGGAGGCTGATGTATCCACTCATCCCAATCCAAAGAATAGCTTTTAGAAACAAGCAGGAAGTTATGATCCTGAATTTTCCGTCATTCATAGCCAATACTGTTGGGGAATCAGAATCTTTGGCTACTTTTAAGCTATGGGACCAGGAGTACATCCTTGCTTCAAAGTCCATATACATGCACAATTGTGAGTCCTAATGTCTTCTCTGTCTTTTTTTCTGTGTGGCCCTCTTCATGATGCAATGCCTGCCACTGCCTTGTGAGAGATCTTAGCAGCAGCAGAAAGGGCTCTCACAAATACACTTATGGGCAAAATAGATCATTAACTCAGCCTGATTCTCTTGCAGATCATCCTCAGCCATGCTCACTCTGAATTTCTTGTTGGATTTCTAGAAATCTGGTTTAAGAAAATCACTATCCTTATTGTCATTAAGAACCATCTGTATTCTCAACTCCTGCTGTCAGCCAGTTAGAGCTTCATGAGCTCCGAGACTATTACTTCGTCAAGCATTATGTATCACAAAGTCCTCTAAAACTAACTCAGGTCTCAGTAGGGTGGTCCTGAAACTGCTGTTTGAATAAAGTTTTCTGAGACCACTACCACATAATTGGAATACCTTTTATATGTTGAAAAGTTTGTGTTCTACCTTTTATATTTATATACCAAGTTGAGAAAGGGTAGAACATGAACACCCTCTGCAGAATATCTTCTGAATATTAGCATATCTTTAACAATATCTTCTGCAGATATTGTTAAAATCAAAAAGTCATGAAATTTGGATGTCTGACTTTACATATGAACTGCCAGAACTAGGTTGCTCATAATTAACAACTCATTCTAATGTAACTGCATATCTACAGGATCAGCCCTAGTCATGGTCCAGTGCTTTAACTGAGCCTTCTAATATTTTTTTATTAATTTCATATTCTTCTGAGTAGTACTAGCATTAATTATGAGAGAAAATACCAATTTTTGACGTGTCATAGCCATGTGCTTCAGTGTACACTCTATAGATTTGTACCCCAAGACCTAGATTCAACCTGTTGTTTATTTCCATGGCTTTCAAGAGATTTTTATGCTCTGAACAGAGTTTGCATTGTTCTAATTGTTTACAAAAGGTATCATAATTTATAAATGGGTCATCATTGCAATACTGAAACTAGATTTCTTTCTGTTAATTTCCGAGCAAGTTAGCATATGGGTTGAATGTCTTAAGTCTCAAAGAGGTTAAAAGTCATGTTTCTAATTCTTGTGTTAGAATAGTAGCTCAAGACAAGCTTACAAGTAGAGTGGTGGGATGGTCTTCATGGCCCCATGTCTTAAGTCCTTCATGCACTGAGGAAGCTAAATAGAAATAAAATCCTCATGAAGCTGAAGAACTAAATAGAGTGGGGCCATGCTATTGCTTCGTAATATGCAAGTTCTCTTGTGTATTAGTACTGCTTCAACTAGTACAGTCTTCTCAAAGCTGTGCGCTTCTTTGTGGTACCAATGTACTGAAACCCACCTATTCTATTCTCCATGATCCTTATCAAAATACATTTCTT